CTCATGGTGGCAGGAGCCAGAGCCGGTCCACTGGCCGTCCTGAATGCCACAGAGATCCAGGCGGTACCGGTCCAGCTCCCGACAGAGGAGTGGCAGCCTCTCCTCCGCAGTGAGCATTCGAACATTCCATGTGGCCATCCGTAGTGGCTTTTTGTTGTTTCTGGGTAAAGAGGGTAAATATTCAATCTCCTGGCTCCGCCAAATGGGGTTTGGCCAGGAGACGTCTTAGACGCCTGTCCCCCCGGGGCCTCCGGCACATGCTTATTAGTTAGATGTTTTAGACGTGGTTTAGTGGTAATTTATTAAAGGTGGACGGGTTACCAGCCCCTCGCACCCGTCCAGAGCCCCCATTTAGCCGCTGTGGTGGTCACAGACGCCATGAGGGGAGAGGGCCAATCGGAATTGGCCCTCCCCCACCCCCCCACAGCACTGTCCACGAGAGAGTTGCCCGTCCGGCACAACGAGGAGATAGGGGATTGTTTTTGCCGGACACTCTCGCCCACACAACCCCCGCAAACACACACACACACACACCCACCCACACTCACTCACACTTTCACCCACACACCCTCGCACACACACACACACACCCACCCACCCACCAACTCCCTCCCACGCACACGAAGTCATAAAAGCACACCCCGCGTGCACATAAAGCACACGTAAACACGCGTAAACAAGCGTCAGCACGCGCCCATAAAACGGGCCGCATTCCCACACGCACACAGCCCCCCCCCCCCCCCCCCACAGTGACGATGGTGCGGCACTCCCCCAGGTCGACTCGGCCTCAAACGAGTACCACGTGACGATGACGACGATTCAATGAATTCCGTTGGTGTGCGGCACTCCCCCAGGTCGACTCGGCCTCAAACGAGTACCACGTGACGATGACGACGATTCAATGAATTCCGTTGGTGTGCGGCACTCCCCCAGGTCGACTCAGCCTCAAACGAATACCACGTGGTGGTGATGATGATGACGATGATGACGACGATGATGATGATTCGATAAATTCCACGATCGTGTCTGGCCCTCGCCTAGGTCAACTCAGCCTCAAACGAATACCACGTGGTGATGATGATGATGATGACGATGATGATGACGACGACGATGATGATGATTCGATAAATTCCACGATCGTGTCTGGCCCTCGCCTAGGTCAACTCAGCCTCAAACGAATACCACGTGATTGATGATTCGATAAATCCCGTTGGTGTGTGGTTCTCCCCTAGGTCGACTTCGCCTCAAACGAGTACCACGTGATGATGATGAAAATTCAACGGATCAACAGAATTAAACACGTGTCTGGACCTCCCCTAGGTCTACTCCGCCTCAAACGAGTACCACGTGATGATGATTCAACAGATGACGCTATCGACAAATGTGCCTGGCGCTCCTCTGGGTTGATTTGGCCTCAAATGATCACGTCACCTACACACGTGTCTGACCCTCCCCTAGGCCGGCTCGGCCTCAAATTAGTACCACGTGGCGATGATGATGCAACGGCGTCTACGGGTATCTGTGAGTCTCTGTGCGTGTCGGTGGGTCTCTGTGCGATGGGTCTATAGGTCTCCGTGTTCGTCTGTGGGTCTCTGCGTGAGCCTATGGGTCTGTGTGTGTGTCTGTGGGTCTCTGTGTGAGTCTATGGGTCTCTGTATGAGTCTATTGGTCTCTGTGTGTGTCTATGGGTCTCTGTATGAGTCTATGGGTCTCTGTGTAAGTCTATCGGTTTCTCTGTGATGAGTCAATGAGTCTGTGTGTGTATGGGTTTCTGTGTGAGTCTGTGGGTCTGTGTGTGATGCGTCTATGGGTCTCTGTGTGATGAGTCTATGGCTCTCTGTGTGGTTAGTCTATGGGTATGTGTGTGTGTCTATGGCTCCCTGTGTGGTTAGTCTATGGGTCTGTGTGTGTGTCTATGGGTCACTGTGTGATGAGTCTATGGATTCATGTGTGAGTCTATGGGTCTGTGTGATTCGTCTATGGCTCTCTGTGTGGGTCTATGGGTCGGTGTGAGTCTATGGGTCTCTGTGTGATGAGTCTATGGGTCCCTGTGTAATGAGTCTGTGGGTCTCTGTGAGTCTGTGGGTCTCTGCGTGATGAGTCGGTGGGTCTCTGTGTGATGAGTCTGTGTGTCTCTGCGTGATGAGTCTGTGTGTCTCTATGTGATGAGTCTGTGGGTCTCTGCGTGATGAGTCTGTGGGTCTCTATGTGATGAGTCTGTGGGTCTCTGCGTGATGAGTCTGTGGGTCTCTGTGAGTCTATGTGTCTCTATGTGATGAGTCTGTGGGTCTCTGTGTGATGAGTCTATGGGTCTCTATGTGATGAGTCTGTGGGTCTCTGCGTGATGAGTCTGTGGGTCTCTGTGTGATGAGTCTGTGGGACTCTATGTGATGAGTCTGTGGGTCTCTGTGTGATGAGTCTATGGGTCTCTATGTGATGAGTCTGTGGGTCTCTATGTGATGAGTCTGTGGGTCTTTGCGTGATGAGTCTGAGGGTCTCTGTGAGTCTATGGGTCTCTATGTGATGAGTCTGCGGGTCTCTGTGTGGTGAGTCTGTGGGTCTCTGTGTGGTGAGTCTGTGGGTCTCTATGTGATGAGTCTGTGGGTCCCTGTGAGTCTATGGGTCTCTGTGTGGTGAGTCTGTGGGTCTCTATGTGATGAGTCTGTGGGTCTCTGTGAGTCTATGGGTCTCTATGTGATGATTCTGTGGGTCTCTGTGTGATGAGTCTGCGGGGAGAGACAAGATAGAGAGTGGAGGCAGAGCGAGCGAGAGAGAGAAGAGAGAGGGAGATAGTTAAGCTGAGAGAGTGCGAGCGTGTGGGAGAGAGGGGGGGGGGTCGAGAGAGGAAGTCCATTCAAACATCCATAATTCACTTTCACGATCTCACCCCCCTCACCTCCGCCCAGCCAATCAGAGGCGGCGGTCCCGATCACGTGACGCTCACGGGCTCATAATGGCCATGTCAGAATTAAAGTGAATCCGTGGTTGTGTTGTTGTTGTTGGTGGTGGTGAGGTCGTGGGTTCAGGCCCTCGGTGTCTGTCTGTGTGTGCGTGTCTGCCTGTCTGTGTGTGTCTGTGTGTGCGTGTCTGTGTGCGTGTCTGTGTTTCTGTCTGTCTGTGTGTGTCTGTGTGTGTCTGTCTGTGTGTGTGTGTTGGTATATCTGCCTGTGTATCTGTGTGTGTGTCTGTCTGTGTGTGTATGTGTGTCTGTCTGTGTGTGTCTGTCTGTGTGTCTGTGCGTGCGTGTCTGTGTTTCTGTCTGTGTGTGTGTCTGTATGTGTGTCTGTCTGTGTGTGTCTGTGTGTATGTCTGTATGTGTGTCTGTCTGCGTGTGTGTGTCTGTCTGTGTGCGTGTCTGTGTATATGTCTGTATGTGTGTCTGTATGATTGTGTGTGTCTGTCTGTGTGTGCGTGTCTGCGTGTATATCTATGTGTCGGTCTATCTGCCTGTCCATCTGTCTGTGTGTGTGTGTCTGTGTGTGCGTGTCTGTGTGTATGTTTGTATGTGTGTCTGTCTGTGTGTGCGTGTCTGTGTGTATGTCTGTACGTATGTGTGTGTGCTTGTCTGTGTGTATGTCTGTCTGTCTGTGTGTCTGTCTGTGTGTGTGTCTGTGTGTGTCTATCTGTGTGTGCGTGTATGTGTGTCTGTGTGTGTGTCTGTGTGTGTGTCTGTGTGTGTCTGTCTGTGTGTGTGTCTCTCTCTGTGTGTGCATGTCTGTGTGTTTGTGTGTATGTCTGTGTGTGTCTCTCTGTGTGTGCGTGTCTGTGTGTGTGTCTGTGTGTATGTCTGTGTGTGCGCGTCTGTCTGTGTGTCTGTGTGTGGAGAGAGTGGAGAGTTTCCCATACCTGGGCAGTATGCTTATGACCGGCTCCAGTCTATCAGCAGAGGTCTCACTCCGAATCAGTCGAGCGGCAATATCTTTTCATCGGTTGCGTAACGCTGTGTGGAAGCTACCTGGTCTGTCGCTCCGCACGAAGCTTCAGGTCTTCTCGGCCACGGTCATTCCCTCCCTTCTCTACGCTTGCGAGACGTGGACCCCCCTGGTGGAGCATCTTCGCCGGTTGGAAACATTTAGGCTGGCCTGCCTACGATCCATCCTGGGTTTAACCAGGCTGGATTGTGTGAGGAGCTCACAAATCCTTGAAAGATCTGGGCAAAGTCCCATCAGTGAGCTCCTCCGGCAGGCAAGGCTGCGTTGGCTGGGTCATGTAGCCCGCATGCCCAGCCACCGCATGCCTAAACAGCTTTTGTTCGGCCGGATCGAGGGGGCTAGACGGGCGCGGCACGGGCTGGAGAAGAGATGGAGTGATGTGGTACAGGAGGACGTGGAGCTGAGTGGACTTGCCGATGACTGGTACCAGCGGTGTCAAGATCGGCCTCAGTGGAGGAGGCTCGTGAAGGACGCTACTGGGCAGTTGGAGGCAGTCGCCCTCCAACAACAACGGAGGGCGGAGGAGCGACGCTCACAACAACGAGCGGAGCGCCGGGTGGCTAAAGCACAGCAAGTTGGCACAGTAGGGGGCACAGGTGGTGCATCAGCCAGTCATCTCGGTCATCTCGGTCAGTCGACCAGTGGCACCTGGGTCTGCCCCGTGACCTCCTGCCAGCGGGCTTTCGACACTTCACGTGGCCTCAAGGTGCACTTGGCCTGGCACAAGCATCGTGGTGACGTCACCGCCACTTAGTGGCGAATGGCGGTTGTTGTTGTTGTTGTTGTCTCTGTGTGTGTGTGTGTCTGTGTGTGTCTTTGACTTTGCCTGTCTCTGCCTCTGTTCGATTCCCGCTCACAGCCAGCACCACCAGTGACGATTATCTGAACCGGTCCTGTGCCTCCCCTAGGTCGACTCAGCCTCAAATGAGTACCTTGACTAGCGGTGTGTGTAGTAAACATCGCTAGCACTGGGGAGACAAAGGCGGCCGGGCGTGGTGCTGGCCACCCACCCCCTCGTGTGCCACAGTAGCCTTCATAGGTGCACTTGCCCCAACAGTTCCCTTCAAGCTACACGGGGGACCTTTGTTTCTGTTCGGGAGGGCCCATAACGACCACATGGATGGACACTGAACCCGTGACCTCTTGCCACGTGGGGTTCACAACTGGAGGGAGAGGCCATCATCACGGTGGGGATCTCAAAGCTCCGATCTCAAAGCACGCCAGTGACCGTTGTGATTGTTGTTATTTATGACACGCTTTCATTTAACTCACTCTGTCTAGATTTGAAGCTTTCGTGACTGCAAGGGTCCATACTCTTTGGTTCTTTCGGTAAAGTCACGTAGGTGAAATTTTTTTTATTGAAATCACTACATTTTAGGGGTTTTTTGTTATTAACTAAATTTTAGTTATTTCTATTTTTTATTTTATTTATTAACTAAATTTTAGTTATTTCTATTTTTTTATTTTAGTTATTAACTAAATTTTAGTTATTTCTATTTTTTATTTTAGTTATTAACAAAATTTTAGTTATTTCTATTTTTTATTTTAGTTATTAACTAAATTTAATGATTTCTATTTTTTTTGTTAAGTTATTAACTACATTTTAGTTATTTCTATTATTCATTTTAGTTATTAACTACATTTTAGTTATTTCTATTTTTCATTTTTGTTATTAACTAAATTTTTGTTATTTCTATTTTTATTTTAGTTATTAACTAAATTTTAGTTATTTCTATTTTTTATTTTAGTTATTGGCTTAATTTTAGTTATTTCTATTTTTTATTTCAGTTATTAACTACATTTTAGTTATTTCTATTTTTTATTTTAGTTATTGACTAAATTGTAGTTATTTCTATTTTTTATTTTAGTTGTTAACTAAATTTTAGTTATTTCTATTTTTTATTTTAGTTATTTACAACATTTTAGTTATTTCTATTTTTTATTTCAGTTATTAACTAAATTTTAGTTGTTTCTATTTTTTATTTTAGTTATTAACTAAATTTTAGTTATTTCTATTTTTTATTTTAGTTGTTAACTAAATTTTAGTTATTTCTATTTTTTATTTCAGTTATTAACTAAATTTTAGTTATTTCTATTTTTATTTTAGTTATTGACTACATTTTAGTTATTTCTATTTTTTACTTTAGTTATTATCTAAGTTTTAGTTATTTCTATTTTTTATTTTAGCTATTGACTAAATTTTAGTCGTTTCAATTTTTTATTTTAGTTATTAACTAAAGTTTAGTTATTTCTATTTTTTATTTTAGTTATTAACTCAATTTTAGTTGTTTCTATATTTTATTTCAGTTATTAACTACATTTTAGTTATTTCTATATTTATTTTAGTTATTAACAAAATTTTAGTTATTTCTATTTTTTATTTTAGTTATTAACGAAATTTTAGTTATTTCT